GGATTTATGATTGGGACGAGATCAGCTTTAGTTATTGCAGATGAATTTATTAATAGTGCACTTTCAACATATAGAGCTAAACATAAGATGACATCAGCAAAAAAACAAAATGAATGTGGATTTATATGTTCAGCTGTTGGCTTATATGCTGTTGCTGCTGAAGGTATTTATTTGTTAATATATTTATTATTGTTTATTAAATCACTTGTCTTTGTTAATATATTTATTTAATATATTTATTATTATTATTATTTTTTAGTTAAAAATCATATGGGAGATAAAGAATCATCTCATAATTATCTTGAATTAATTCAATCACAATTTTCTCATTCATGTTTTTCACCTAACACACCAAGTGAATTATTTTATGGTCGCGCGGGATTCCTTTATACTCAAAAATTTATTTCGAGTTTAATTGATCCCTCAAAAGAAATTCCTACTTCCTCATTAATTAAATCAGTCTTTGATGCAATTATTGAAGATGGAATTCTAAATGCTGCAATCACTTCTTCCAATTTTACTTCAAATTATTATAATACTGAAAAGGAACAACAGATTCCATTATTTTGGTCATTTTTTGATAAACCTTATGTTGGAGCTGCTCATGGTTTCGCGGGAATTCTTACCACATTATTACAATTTCCCGAAAATTGTCGAGAATATTATAAACGAGTTAAAGAAACGGTGGATTTCATTTTATTTAATTGTCGTTCACCAAATGGTAATTGGCCATCAAATTTGAATAAAGGTGAGAATGATTTGATACAATTCTGTCATGGTGCTCCTGGAATATGTTTATTGGCTTGTAAAGCTTATGAATATTATAAAGAAGAAAAGTAAGTATATTTTAAAAATATTTTAAAAATATTTCTTATTTTATTAATATTATTATTAATATTTACTTCTTTCTCGCGTATGTTATTAAAAGATATTTGAAACTTGCGATGGAAACTGCAAATTATGTTTATTCTCAAGGATATGGTCATAAAGGAACGGGACTTTGTCACGGAATTTCTGGAAATGCATATGTATTCCTCTCGGTATATCTGCTTACCAAAGATCTTCAATACTTTCAATGGGCACTAGAATATGCTGAAGTTTGTACTCAATGGGAAGAACGTACACTTAATAAAGAATTTAGACTTCCTGATAGACCGTGGTCTCTTTGGGAAGGTCTTGGTGGTGCAGTTTGGTAAGAAAATATTAATATATATATATATATATATTTAATATTAATTATTTTAGTATTCGTCCATTCATTCAAATTTTTTATTTTTTAGTCTCTTGTTGGATTTGGTGTTTTGGGACGTTGAAGTATTTAAAGGTTTTCCTGGATTTACGGATATTTAAAAGGAAATTATGTGTAATTTATGTGCATATTTATAATCCAATATATAGCATAGATTGTATAATTAAAGTGTAAATTAAAGTTAAAGTATAATTTAGTATAAAAAAAAAATAAGCATTATTTTCGTGTAATCGTTAATTAAAATAAAAAAAAAAATAATTATATAAATTTCAAATATATTCAAATATATTCAATATATAAAAATATGTTGAATTAAAAAATACAATATACAGTACATATAATATATAAAAAAAAAATAAAATACAGAATCATTAAATTTCATAGATTTCATAAATCTCATAAATAAAATACAATCCAATACTATATATACTATATATACAAGTAAAAAAGAAGGAAGGAATGAAGGAAGGAAGACGAGTTGGTAAAGAATACGAAGAGAAGGTTTTAATAATATTATTATAATTAAGCCCAATTAGTCCAATAATTTTTGTTTAATTTGTTATTCTGTTATTTTAAATTTTAAATTGTTTATGAACCTGAACCAAATCCTATTGGCCATTTAATTCGTAATTGATCAAGCCATTTTGTATATAACATCTCCGTTATCGGTGATGATTTTGATTTCTTCTCCTTTGATGATATGGATGATGATGATTGTTCATCTGGTGGTTCTTTAACATCATTATCTGGTAGAGAATTTTCACCACCACCATTATTATCTGATGATGATGATGGAGAATCAATGTCTGCTGTTAATTCTGGAGTTGATAAAAATGCATCAGATATTACTCCTAAATCTGATAATCTCTCACATATATCGGCATTACTAAATAAGAATATAATAAATAAATTTTTTTTTGT